GAAGGAGAGGCTCAGGTTGCTGCCCCCTTGTGACCAAGAAAGAATTTGACCTTTTGGATGCTGGGCATGAAGTGGGGGGGGGGGGGGGGGGGGGGGGGGGGGTGGGTGCTGCACGGGGCACATGCAGGACCTCAAAATATCTCTGCGTGCGTAAATAGCGCTGAACTTTCCACTGAGACACAGACTTCTCGCCAGCTCTGGGTCGGTCTCTCTGGCAGCTTGTGCTGCTATGTCTGGGGGGGGGGCAGAGTGGCCAGCCAATTATCCACAGATATCTGGTCATGTCATGCGTTTCTCCTCAGTTTTAACGAGCCAGAAATCAGCAAGTACTTCTTACCCTAAGACGACGGTTTGCAGGTACGTGTGCTCGTGTGTGAGCAGAAGGAAAACCTTCCTAAATTTATAGAAATTTGATTTTAAAAAGGTGAAAGATCAGGGAAACGGGAGTGAAAGGTGCCAATTCTGAGCACTAACTCGACACTAACCGACATAAACGAGCGTCTACCTCTGACGCTCCCCCCCCCCTGACAAAGGCACATTTCCCACGTTGCCCCCCCCCCCAGTCCACAGGGCCATGACTCCTTGATGGCCAAAATAAAATCCGTTACTAAAACACATCGGTAGTCCTAACATCTCTAACACAAGGAAAATAAAAGCTGAGTTTCAGCAATGCGAGTGAAGGGTAAATCCATAATACCCTGACAGGAACAGCCCAGTCCTGACAGTCCCGTCTATAAATAGTTTATTAATGCAGGACTGGACCCCTTCCAGGCGAGAGGGGGCCTCCCAGAGGTCTCTCTGACTCACGACGCAGCCGCTCTGACTCATTCCTGCAGAACACACTGCGTCTCTCCCCGTGGTGGTGGGGGGGGGCATCTAAGCAGGCATCTCCCAGCATGCACCACGGGCACAAGGTGACACAGTGTGGACCCGGTGCCCCAGCTCGGGTGAATGATGAAACCGTCACTGGAAATCGGAATCCCAGAGTGTCACCCGGCCCCGCCTGCTGCATTCGGCACTGCTGATCCCTGACCAGTGAGTCAGCAGGGAATAGCTGGCGGAAACGATGCTTCAGAGCGCTGGGGTGTAGCAGGTTAGTCAGGCATCACTGCATCACAACAGAGGTGTAACCAGTTTAATCCAGTACGGGAACCAATGGAAAATTGGGTAAACCAGCTTGTTAATTACACAGAACAACACCTCACCCACGGCCCTGAAAACCTTGTTTCTCCTGACCTACAAGCCCAATTACGCAACAGAAGGCAGCAATCAGGCCGACAGTAGGGGTGCAGCATCTCTGGCTGTTGAGGAGGAAGATGGGGGGCAGTACTCACCCAGAAGGGGAACTTTGTTCTGAAGAAGTTCATAGTAGCTGGTGGTGAGGATGCCCACGGGGTTGCTGGGTATGAATCGGCCCTCCCTCACAAGCCTCTCGCACGTCTTCATCAGGGTCCCCGAGAACTGGGAGGGGTCCACCCCGTAGTCCCGCCAGCCGCCCACACCATCCGCCACACCTGGGGAGGGACACGGAGGCGACGTGTGTGTGAGCATCTGCCGGCGTTTTTCCCTGGCAACCAACAAACCCAGGGGCCTGTGGAGGGCAGAGGCACTAACAGCTGGGGCGAGCGAGCGAGCGAGCGAGCGCACACACAGATACACGCGCTTGCACTCGCAGGCATTCTGTATTGTCATGGCGATGGCCTGCTGTCAATCAAACCTGTGCCCTCAGCCAATCAGAAAAC